AAAAAAAAAAAAAAAAAAAAAAGTTGCTGTGACATAAGTGAAGCAAGGACTATGGCAGATATTAAAGTGCTATATGTGGCAGGACCAGGCCTAGAGACAAGGCCACTGCTTTCAGCAGGCACAGGAAAGCTACAGACAGAATTCTCACCTACACTGACAATGGTTTACTCCACCTAGGCTGCACCGTGGGCCAGGCCCTGCCTCCTAGCAGTCATTTTTGGTATCATCAAGAGGACAAGGAGGTCCAGATCACAGTCCTCTGCCAAAGACTCCAGCCAGCCTTACCTGCCTCCTTCTGCTGGTGATAACAGTGCCCATACCTGCAGGTCAGGCTGCTGTATCACTTACACATCATCTAGGCTAAGAACAGCAAGGCCCTGTTCTCCAGTGAAGACAAACCAACCTGCACCCTGGCCGTCCCATGGCTCCTATTACCCGAATAATGACATCCAGTCACCTGGCACCTCCAGGAAGGGGGGGCAGGCAGGAGTACCTAGGGCTCTATGCCCTCTCATACCCTGGGAACAGGGATAGAACCCAGCCCTTACCACCAAAGAAACAGAGGCACAAACAAGCTGAGCACCACAAAGAAATCTTGACCTCCTTCCCCGGAGGAAATTCACCAATCTTTTCCTCTCACTGAATCAGGTGCAGCAGCAGTACTCAAAACTGAGATGGCTCCTCAGTTTCATAGCCCCTGGTAAACTTGCTACAGAATCTCCCAAAAGAGAGATTTCTGTAGCACTGTGCCAGGCACAGTGACGCACACATGTAATCTCAGCCCTTGGAAAATTGAGGCAGGAGGCTATCCATGAGTTTGAGGCTCTCCTTGGTTACATAGTAAGTTCAAAGCCAGCCTGGACTATACAGTAAAACCCTGTCTCAAAACAAAACAAAAACAAACAAACAAAACGAATTCCCCAAAGGGAAGGAGGAAGTGATGCCCTGGACAAAGATGAGCACCCGGGTGTCTATGCTCCTTACTAGGCCAATCCAAAAAAGCTCTGGAACTAAGTACCTCCCCAACCATTCCCAGGATTCCCAGGTCTCAGCTCTAAGGTCTCTGGGAGACCCATGTCACAGGGGCATGCCTGGGCAAAGGAATCCAGCTCTGAGCATCCCCAGGCCCTTGCATACCGTCTGAGTTGAGGGGTAGAGGGGCTGCAGAGGGCAGTGTTCCTCACTTCAGAGGGTGAGTCAGCGAGAGAACCTCTGAACAGCCGAGTAGGGCCTGTAAAAACCCCATGGCAGGGATCCCAGAGCAATTTACTCCAAATTGCGCCTTCAGGTTGGTTACCTAATCCTGCCGCGCCCACCCTCTGATAACCATCCCTTTAAAGGGGCAGCATACTCCAGGTGCTGGGGACCTAAGGTCCTCACACTGTTCTCCACCTTCAGGCCGCAGAGGCAGAGCACACAATGGCCTCCCTATGTGAATGGACAGAAGAGATGATAAAGGCAGGAGCCAGGGCCTGTGGCCAGGAGAAAAATCACCTTGACTTCTTGCTTGGTCGGTTGAGGTCTCCACCCAAGCTCTGCACACTAACAGCTATTCTAAGGAGGAGTAGCACCTCCTCCCCTCCCAGCATGAGGACAGGGAAAGTTTTAACCTTGCTGGGTCAGCCCTTGACCTTGACCCTAGGGTCCCAGGGCACAAGAAAATCTAGTGCATGGTTAGAGCTTGGTTTCGCAGAGCCCTCAAAGGAGAGCAGAGCTGCCTCTGAGAGACTGGGTGGCAGAAACCACACTCCCCAGGGCTCCGTTCTTATAGGATAGGACTCAGAAAGGGAAACAAACACAAGGTCTCCCTCCTCTAGAAACAATCTCCATAAGATCTAAAGGCTTTTCCCTGTCTTCTCTACAACCAGGGGTAGCAGACACCCGGTGTCCTCTGGCCTTAGCCTCAGGGCCGAGGAAACCAGGAATTCCAGCCCCAGAGGCGTGGTGTCATCCCACATTCCACAACTGCCAGGGTTCCAGCGGGGCAACCCTCCTACAATCAGCAGCTGAGAAGCAGGAGGGTGAACTCTTGGGAGAGGACACTGGGAGGACTGGGGGTCTCCACCCAAGCTCTGCACACTAACAGCTATCCTAAGGAGGAGTAGCACCTCCTCGTCTCTAGCAAGATCCAGACATTAGACCCAACCCTGCTTGTCTGCCCCTCTGCACTAACGGACGGAGCCCCGATAGCTCCCGAAAGATGTCTAGTGCTGGGGTTCTGAGATGAAGGGGACCAGACCTCAGCACCCCACGGGATAGGGACTCCATCTCCTGGCTGCGGCGGGAGGTACTCAGCGCTCCGCGGAACTATCTCCTGCAGATACTCTGAGCGCAGGGGGGTGGAGCCGGACAGCGGGCAAGAGAGGGCACTCGCGCCCTCGCGAACGCCCGCCGGACTGCAGCGGCGCCGCGGGCCGCCCCGCCTCGGTGCGGATCCGGGCTCCCTAGCCGCCGGCGCCCGTCCCCCGCCCAGCTCACTCACCTCTGGGTCCAGCGGCACCAGCTCCATGAGCGGCCAGGGCTCTTTGAGCTGGGCGAGCGGCATCGCGGCGCCGCCAGGCCGCTCGCACTCCTCTGGCGATCAGGGCCTGGCCGCCTCCCGGCCCCAGGGTCCCCAGCAGTGGCCAGACCCCGGCGCGACCCTGAGCCCCAAGCGCTGCAGCTGGGCCGTCCGCCGCCGCCTGGGCACTAGCACTCGGGCTCCCTCCGTCACCCAGCGCCGCCGCGCCCATTGGCTACCTGTGCGGGGGCGTGGTCTCGGAGGCCCCGCCCCAGCACCCGCGGCGCGGCATTCCCGGCGTGGACCCCCGCCCCCGCCGCCAGGGCGCCCGGCCCCGCCTCCACCGCAAGCCCCTAGCCCGCGCTCGGCTCCGCCCACAGAGGGCCTGCTGGCTCCTCCCTCCGTTCTTGGGTCCCAGCGCTGACCACCTCGCGGGCCTCGGCTTCTTCAATTCCCTGTAGCCTCGGAGTGCCAACCGAGGTGTTCCTTCCTCCTCCAGCTGGAAGTTGGCTCTCTGTCCCCACCCCCCTCCCTACACAGGCATTTCACAGAGTGTCCCGGGTCGATCCAGGCGAGGCTTGAAGGGAGCGTGGGTCCGGCTTTCCTCAGGCCCTCACTTCTATAAGCTCTGGGGCCCTTCCCCCAACAGTTTCCGCCCAGCACCGAAGCCCACATGGGCTCTCCAGGTGATCTCAGTGCCCCAGCCCAGGTAGGCTCCCATGATCAGTCACCACCTTCAGAGCCCACAGCGCCCCCGGGTGATTTTTTTAAAGCGCAGGTTATGCAGTCTGTGGTTTGCCCTATCAAACGAGGGTGCTCCTGCAGGTCAGAACAGGGCGTCTTTTCACCTGCAGGCCCAGGTCTGGGCTGCTTTGGGCTTAGGACCCAGAGAAGAGGGCAGGGTCCAGGCTTCCGGGATCCGCTGCCACTTGTTGGGACTTGGGGTAAACGACCAGGGAGAGGGATTTCCCCTGGGGAGATTCAGCCTCCACCTAAAGAGGTCTTGGGGCCCAGGTGTGGTGAGACTTACTCACAGGTGAGGAAGCTCAGCTATGGGTTGCTGGCTTCACAGGCAGAAGACTGGTCAGTTATTGCACAGGTGATCTAGGGGGGTTGGGAAGACTTCTTTGTCAAAAAGGCCCTCTCTCCCCGGTAGGACTGGGGCTGAGGGTGCAGCTCAGCATTAGAGCACTTGCCTCAGAGGCCCTGAGTTCCCCAGCACTAAAATGAAATGAAATAAGATAAAAACTTATGAGAACAGGCCTCACCAATGTATGATTTCATTTTTTGTTGTTTTGATCCTGGGCATGTGTTAGTTTAAATCTAAAATGTTTCCAACCAGGTGTCATGACTATAATCCCAGCACTGGGAAGGCTGGGGCAGGAACATCCCAGTTTGAGATCAGCCTGGGCTACATAACGGTTCCAGGCCAGACTGAACCATATAACAAGACCTGTCTCAAAGAAACAAAATGTCTTCACAAAGCCTCATGCATTCAGAGGTGGGGCTTTGGGAAGATGACTGGATCATGCAGGCTTTAACTTCATCAATGGTGAGATTGGCATTACAGGGAGATAACAAATTTAGGAGGTAAGACCTAGCTGAAGAGTGGGGGCCATGGGGCCATGACTGTGGGGACCTTATCTTGTCCCTAGCCCCTGCCTTTCTGGCTCTTTCTCCTTCCCAGCTGCCATGAGGTGAGCAGCTTTCTTCCACCATGATGTTTCTGCTTCACCACAGGAATGAAAGCAATGGAGCCTGCGACCCATGGGCTGACACTGTGAGCCAGAATAAACCCTGCCTGGGTGGGACTGGTGGTGCATGCCTGTAATCCCAGCACTCAGCAGGCTGAGGCAGGAGGATCATTGTGAGTTCTAGACCAGCCTGGGATAAAAAGTGAGCTCAAGGACAGCCTGAACTGCGTAGCGAGCCCGTCTCAAAAAGATAAATAAATAAATAAATAAATAATATACAGGGTCCTCTTCCTGAAAATGTATTATCAACCAGGCCTTCTAGATGCTGAAGATATAGCAATAGTAAAATAAAATCTGTGCTATCATTAAATTGGCATTCATTCTGATATGATTAAATAATTACACTCACAGAGGCACTGTTGTAAGCGTTTTTCCTGTATCATGCCATCCTTATTGTACTATATACCATGATATGAGCAGGTGTTTTTCCACGACCTATGCAGATGGGGACACCAAAGACAGAGCAGCTAATTATCTTGTCCTCTAGTCCTCTCCTAGGTTACACAGGTGGAAGAAAGAAGAGACAGCCTAAAGCCTGGCTTGAGAGTTCATCCTCTAGTCCACTTACACCCTGTGCTCTGCTGAGAATAGGTGAGGACTATAGAGCAGAGGTGCCTGGACCCCAAGGACAGTGATTGCCAGCATCAGTGTCACTGTGGCCTGTACGGTTCCTGGAAGCACTTTGCCATGTCTATGTCCCGATTCCTGCTGCTCAGGGCTGGGCATGTAATATGTAGACATACTTCAACTGATGATTACCTCAGTACCTAAATTTTTTTTCTTGTGGAACCGGGGATTGAACTCAGGCCCTTGCGCTCGCCAGAGAAGCACTTATTCCACTGAGCCACCTCCCCAGCCCTGGGATCTGACCTTTTGGTTTGCTAAATCAAGTAATTCTACTCAAGGCTCCAAAGAGATCACACACAGGTGTCAAAAGTCCTTGCAGCCAGCTACAGTGATAGTAGGAAGAGAATTAGGCTCCGTGATGGCCCAGGGGAAGAGGTGGGAAAGCTGGAGTAGTTCTGCCTTCCTTCTTGGACCCTCTTCCTTCCCCCCTCAAATGACAATCCTCCTGTCTCAGCCTCCCAAGTGTTTGGATTATGGGGTACACTGCCATACCAAGCTCTTTTAATATTTTTATTACTAAGTTTCACCTGGATCCTCTCTTTCCAAGGGGGCTGAGGGTAAATGGGTCTTCCTGGAAGAGTCCAGAGAACACCTGGGCTCTACATGGGGTGCTTGGGCAGCCTGCTGTTTGTCCCTGGAGGGGGGATAGTGGTCACTCAGCATAAAGCTATGGAGAGCAAGCCATGCTCCAAAACAGTTCAGCTTATATTTGGTACCAACCACACTGGTTTCTGTCTCTGGCTTTCTTCTCTGGGCCCTCTCTCTGGGCTCCAGCCAGACTGACTGTCCCTCCATTCACCAACCACATGGCCCTGGCACATGCTGTTCCTTGTTCTTCAAGAACTTTTCTCTCCCTCAAGCCAGCTGAGCTTCATGATCATTTCCGCCAGGACATCTTCCTTTACCTCCCTCCCACACCCAGATACTTCATGGTGCTCCTCATAGTTGGACTTTTAGATGCATTTACCTGATTATTTCATTGCTGTTGGGGTGTTTAATTGGGCTGTGAGGGGCTGGTGAGATGTCTCAGTGGTCTAAAGCACCTACTTGGAACAAGCTTGGCAAAACACAGGGACCACGGTTCAATCCCCCAGCACCACATGCCAGCCAGCCCCGCCTCCTGGTGGGCTGAGCTGGCCACACACACACACACACACACACACACACACACACACACACACAAATAAATGTTTAAAAAAATTTGGGCTGTGAGTTCTGAGAGGGCAGCAGTTGAGTCTCCTTGGCTCTTCTTGTGCTCTCTGGCCCCTGACACAATACGTGGTATATAGAAGCTAAAGAGGCCATGTGAGAGGCTGGGGAAAGGTGATGGCTCAGTGGTACAGCATGTATTTAGCACATGCAAGGCTCCAGTTCCATCCCCCAGTACCACACACACAAAAATTTGTTTTATTTTGAGGCAGTATCTCACTACATATTCCAGGCTGGCCTCAAACTCATTACAGTCCTCCTACCTCAGCCTCCCAAGTGCTATCACACCCAGCAAACTTTTAAAATGGGCAAAAAAAAAAAATAATAATAATAATAATAAAATAAGCTAAGAGAGATGTCCAACATCACATAGCTATAAAATGGCAAACTGTGACTCAGACCCAGTATAACCCTGTGTGCTGAGATGCTCCACTCCGTGTGCTGGATATTAATGAAGGTAATAATACTGGGGTTAGAACAGGCTGCTCTGCGTGGTTATTTGAGGTGTTTGTTAAATGACTCATGAGTATGAAAGGCCTTGCTGGATATAGTGAGCTTTTTATCTGTGCCTTGTTGAAGAGCTTAGGCAGGGAGTAGGGGCTGAAATGATGGGCTAAGGGCTGCTCTTGGGTCCCTCTGCTGCATTCTGGCTATGTTTGTTCTAGAACTCAGGAACACAGGGTCTGGATGGACCAAAGGGCCAGTCTGTTCTTCTTTCTTGGCCTTTCAGCAGAAGGTGGTCTTGGCTCCTGTATCTCCTGGCAGCAGGTGGAACAGGGTACAGTGAATAATCAGAGTTGCAGCGACCTTTAATAGCAATTACAGTGCACCACAAATGGATCAAGTATTTAAATAATAGTCACTATATTTCTGGGAAAATGCCAGAGTAGTGAACAGCAGAGAAACAGCCTCTCCAAGATTTGGTGTCCAGATGTTGGAGTATAGCAACAAGAGGAAGAGAGAAGAAGGTGGAGAATGGGTCCCTACAGCTCAACAAATTAAAGCTCATGGGGAAAGCAAAGACAGAGGTCTCAACACAGAAGGAGGAGGTTTCCTCTCTGAGCCTTGACTCCATGGGAGGGCTGCTTGAACCTACAGATGTGTGGTGACTGCTGGCAACCGCAGAGCCCTCCACCGAGAAACATCAGTGGAATGGAGCTGGGGACACAGTGGACTGCACTGGCCGATGAGTTATCTAATTTCAGGCACGCCCAGAAGAGGGGGACTGGGCTGTAGCGATCTTGGAGAGGGGCCAGCTGAGTTCACAGTACCCTCCAGATGGCTCCACATAGTGGCTCCCAGTGTCAAGGTGAGGCAGAACTGAGTTAAAAACAATAAAAGGTGAGGACCCAGCAGGGAACCAAATTGAAACCAGCAGGAAGCATACAGAGTGCTGAAGACTGAATAAATCAGGTTCTAGCCTGACAACCAGAAACCAACCTGAACTTTAGTGGAACTAAAGGAGCAAGCTTGCTGGAATTATCCACTACCTTGATGAAAATCTATGGTTGGCTTGCTGGGACTCATTAACATGGATCTGTGCTCTGTCTGCCCACTTTGTCTACTAGTGACAGTATAGACATGAATTAAAGTGGACTCTTCCCCCCTTTT